TCTTACCACGTGTTCACCGAAGGGATCGGCTACACCAGAAGTAGTATCTCAGAAGTGCACGAACACCAAAGTCTTCCCCAGAAGATCAACCGCCGCAAGACGGAACGTCTGAAGGGCAACCGGGCACGAGGGTCAACTCCTTTACCCCCCAGTCGATCATCCCGGCACAGAAGGCCAGCAGTCGACTGGACGGGTAAAGGGGGGGCAGCTGTAGACCCCAAATCTTGCCCGGCCTCCAAATAAAGAGCAGAAGACCTCCTATTTGAAGATGGACAAGCCTAACAAGCCATTAGGAGAGACTATTAGGCCCCATACTAGGATAGGAGGGAGTTTCTGTACCAAAAAATAAGTTTTCTCGCTTCGAAGGAACGAGACCGCCTTCTGGACAACCCAGACCGCCGTCTCGCCTCGCGTAGGAGGCGAGACCGCCGTCTCGCTTAACGAGACGGCGGTCTCGCCACCTACGAAGGACGAGACGGCGGTCTCGTTCACCCAGACGGTGTTCTCGCCATTTTGACAGGTCGAGACGGCGGTCTCGTTGGACAAGACGACGGTCTCGTTGGACAAGACGGCGGTCTCGACCCTGTCAGACGAGACCGGCGGTCTCGCCACCTGACAGCGCGAAAACCTATAAATAGGGGCTCTCCCCCCCTCATTTTCACACACCACAGCTGCATAGCTCTCCCTTCTCTCTAAAAACTTCTCTCTAGAATCCCTCTGACGCATTTCCGGAGCTTCTGAGTGCTTTCAAGAGTGATTTTCGGCGTTCGAGAGGTTTTCCGACGTCTTGTAGAGTGAAGGGCTGCCATAAAGCACCCTATTTTTTAGAGAATTAATATAAAAAGCGTGCTTCGAAGGTTCAAATTCTCTCCCTTCATCTTTACCGTTTTTATCTTAAATTTATGCAATAAATATTAGGGCCATGTAGTCATACTTTTAAATTCCGCAGAATAAAAATGGCGAAAGTGTATTTTTCTAGTTTATCAGTAAAATAAGTCGGTCTGTCATAGGGAACCCGAAAGGGGCGTCGTAAAGGGACTAATACTCCCTTTGCACGTAACCAACTCCCTTACCCAACTCTGGTTCTAATGACCAAAGTTGGTTTTCGAAAACTAACGCCTTTTAAAACCCCTTTTCCGATGTTTCTGGTAAAAACGTCGGTGGCGACTCCATAGAACCCAAACTAAATAAATCCCTGGGTTAGCCCGGTTATCGGACAACTCAGGGATACTTTTGAAAACCTCGTCTCTAGGTTAGCCCGGTTATCGGACAACCTAAAGATGTTGTAACCACCAATAAAAAACGCGAAAATCAAAGAAGAGTCGAAAAACCATCGCGTCGCTCCGACCGCGCTCCGTTTTTCAGGCAGAGCAGCGACAATAAGATCTTCATCACTTTCATACAATAATTAATATTCTTAAGTAATTTATATTTTTATTTATAATTTTTTAATATATATTTGAGAAATTAATCAATTATAATCTATTATTTGAAAAACTAATCAATTCTAATCAATTATTTAGAAAACTAATCAATTATAATTAATTATTTGAAAAAATTATCCAATATGATCGGTTGGTTGAAAATTTAATCAATCATAATGGTTGTATATGATAGCGGTTCCAATCGAACCGCTCTTAAAACAGAACATCTAATAGCGGTTAAACCTTAACCGCTATCTAAAATATAGTTTAGATAGCGGTTAACGTGGAACCGCTATTATATAGTTTCAAATATAAATTTAAATATATTTTTAATTTATTTAAATATGCTTTATTTTTAGTATTTATAAAATAGATTAGTTTTAAATTTTTAACTTTTCTAGCAGTCTATTTTTAATCTTTGTTATTAATTATGTTAAAAATGAAAAAATATTAATTAGTATACTTAAACTAATGTATATTGATTATCTAATGTATATTGATATAATTTTTTTGTATATCAATTATATGAAAATAACCATGGTTAAGTAATTAATAATAATAAAGCAATAAATTTAAAGATTAGATTAAAAATAAAGTTTTATAAAATAAAGTTTTATAAAATAAAATTGTAATAATTTGATTAAAATTTTATTTTCTTAATTAATTAAGTTAATGAGGAATTAAAATGTGATCAGTTGATGTGTTTAATTTTTTTAATATAAATTTTTAAAATATAATTTAATTTCAATTGAAATTTTCAATTGAAAAATAAATTAAAGAATATTTATTATTAAACTTTTCTTAAACAATGTATTGAATAGTTAATATTACTCTAGTCTTAATTTATTACAATTTAAATTTTTAATAAATTAGATTTATTTTTAATAATATTTTTATTTTAGTAATTTAAAATTAAAGTTAACCTTCATTTTGTTAATATTGAGACCAAAGTTTATTTTTAAAGTATCTTTTAAAAATTAAATTATTTTTAGAAAATAAATTACTTTTAAAAAATAAATTGTCAAAAATATACTAAAACAATTAAAGTATATTTATAAAAAAATAAATTTAAATATCATAAAAAAATAATGTTCGTTAGCGACCGATTTAAATTCGGTCGCTATTTTCTCATTAGAGACCGATTATAATTCGGTCACTATTTCAATTTGTAATTCGATCGCTAAATCAGTCGCTAAATGTTTTTTTTATTTTAGTGTGGAATAGCCATCGATTTAGCGATCGAAATTTTGCGACGCAAATTATTGGTCGCTATTTCGGTCGCTAAATAACAAAATGAAAACCAATTCATATTTTGGTCGCTAAATTGGTCGCTAATTGCGACCGAATTAAAGTGGTCGCTGAATCGGTCTCTAATTGCGACCAAACTAAAGTGGTCGCTAAATCGGTTGCTATTTGCGACCAAAATTCAATCGGTCGCTAAATCGGTCGCTATTTGCGACCGAAAAAATTCGGTCGCTAATTTCGGTGGCTAAATGTCATTTTTCTTGTAGTGTATAAATAATCATTTTATGCATATTACTGTTCTTCTTTGGGAGATCCACTAATACACAAGCATAATTACGCTAATCATTTATAACATTAATGATAATTAAAATATGCATCAACTAGAATTACCTAACATCTTTGGGTATATAAATAAAATTAATGACGCACACAAAATTATCCACCTTTATACTCATTAATTATAAGAACAATTAATCAACTTTTGGGTGATCTGAAATATCTTATAATAATGAACTTCAATTAACTCATAAATCATTCTTCATAATTTTAGCAAGGATAATTAAAATAAAATCATTAATAATTTAAAATTAAAATAACCTTAAAATTGTGACCAAATGACTAACAAAATTTATCATGCTTAATTTTAAATAAATAATATTTGTAATTACTATTAATCATTCATGAATTAATTATATTAATTCTTTATCCGAGAAAGTGCTTTATAGGCACAAACAGAGGTGATTACGTGCATGGAGTCCCTCAGGGATGGGAATCCAATGGTCCCTTGACTACCATCACCCAAACACATCACCGTACTCATCCATTTCAACTGGATCCCACTAATCACTTTCACTTTCATCATCCTCGACCCCTCCAGCCTTGCTCTCATATTCACATTTATTAATATAAAATCATTTGATAGAAATTAAAATAATTGTACGTTCAAATATTCACATTTGCAATTCAATTCAATTCAATTGCACATTGGGCCACATATTAATTCCATACTGGTGATACTAGTGTACATGAATTAATCTCAACTGCACATTTCACAATTCCATGTGTACGTATCAATTGCATTTTAAATTAATCACACCGGAAATCAACGAAAAGTGAGATGTCATGTTATTTTTAAATGGATTGATAGATCCTCTTATCCATTCTTGATCATAAATTAGGATTTATCCCTTTATTTAATTTTAAGAAAATAAATTTTGAAATAAATTAGGATTCATGTTAGTTAATCTGATAGAGAAATCCCTAAATTTATAATTAGGGCTTATCATAATTTGGAAAAACTATCTTAAGAAGAAAATCACAAATCTAATAACACATGCTCTGATACCACACATAAGTTAATTTGTAGTTTTTCTACATTCTTAATTTATTTTAGAAAACTACTATAGAAGATCTTTAGATTATTGATTTTCACAATATAACATACATGAATACATGAATCATAATAAAAAGATTAACCTTGATCAATGAGCGTATATTCTTTAATCTTTTTGTTCTCGAACCTCCTTTTTCTCAATCTATCTCTTTGTCTTTCTTTATCTTTTCACGTTTTCCTGATGATTTATCGTAAAAAAAAAACTTATGGTCGAGACATGAACTCTAATTCTTTTTATTAATCACCGTCCATCAAGTTGGTTATCGTAGGTTTTTTATTTTATTTTATCTTTATTTTATTCTGACTTCACATAATAATCAATAGATCCTTATATTTTACATGAGTCACGTAATAGAATAAAATAATTAAATTAATTTTAATATAGTAAACTAAACTACATTAATCATTTCAGTTTTAAAATACTTTATATAAAATATGTAATGAATTTAAATAAACATTTAAGATATTGTCTTTATTTAACATAAATTGTTCATTTCGTGTAAGAGCATCTTAAAGAATTTTCTGGTTGATATCAAGGACGTTGAAAAATCGTTCCACAACACAAAATTTGAACAAAGTACGATCAATTTTCTGATAACAAACATGTAAATATATTCCTGCTTTTGATTGAAAGCTGGTTCATTAAATTCCTCGACATCTATCATAGAAAAATTATGTGGCAAATCAAACATAACTATAACAATTAAGGAACCATAATATAAGGTACGGACAATACGAAAATATATATTTACACAAATGAGTAACATATTAATGTAATAAACTTCAAATGCATCACGAACATGCATACCCATGCATATTTATTCCACACAAACAAAAGGACCAAACATAGCCATTATTATCGTCAAACATCACACATTTTGTAAATATAATCACTTCAACCTTAGGACAACCCCATTATTTTATACTTCTTATTGGAGCTATGCCTTGAGAAGATTTCCATCAACATCTTTGCTTCCTTTGTGCAAGAATTCGAGGAAGCCAAATGGAGAATCAACTTCCTCACTAGTAGTCTCATATTCAATGGTCCATTTGATGATGGAACCACCTTCATCCTTCTGAATTGCTTGAAATATGAGCTTAAAGACCTTAAACTTTTGATCGAAATCTCCACCGAAGAGTTTGTACGAGATTGTTTTGTTGGCCTCATCAACGGATTCAATACTCTCATGGTATGTTGTAACCTTACCATCTAGGGTTTGACAAGCAAGCAAGACCAACAATAACGTGAATATTCATTGTATAAGAATCATACAAAAATTAGAGTGCATTAATCAACCAATTTTGTTGCTTATTAATATAGTTGGAAGTTTATACCTATGGTAGAAGTCCAGTGTTTGATGGACTCATCGTGATGCCAGTCTACACCATGATGCAACTTTGTTTCATGGACTCTATCAGTGAGGTTTTGAACATGATGGAGTTGAGTTGCGAAAAGACTGAACCACTTTGCAGCAGTTGCATGAACCCCAATTTCAATGCTGAGTTTACCAGCAAGAGACATGATTATCCACAAAGAAACAAGAAAACTAATAACAAGGGTGGAAGAAATATATGCAGTTCCTACTTCTCCAAATATTGGTAAAGCTTTTAAAGACACCAATGTCAACTTAACGATGCCATTCAAGATTTGAATTATATTAAATACTTAACTTCATTTAATTTCTTTAATTTATAAGATTATTTTATGCAAATAAAATGTATGATAAAGTTTTATTTCATAGAAGAATTTCACTGAATTACGCTTTCCATCATCATCATCATCATCAATATGCAATATTGAAGAGTATTTATTACTTTATCAAAGTCTAATGTCGCGTAATTATCAGCAAATCATTCATAATCCAGTATTTAAATTGTAGGGTCCAGCCTCTCCTATTATTAATTGGTAAAGCTTTTGAAGCCACACCAATGCCGCGATAATGATGACCCATTCACGGTCTGATTAAGTTTTATGAGTAATTTCAATTTATTTAACTAATTGATAGGATTATTTGATATTAATCAAAATGCATGACATATTTTTTTTTTACTAAATATTTCTCTTGAGGAATATTTTTATAAAGTAAATTTGTATGATTATTTTAATATAATTTTCCATTTATGATTTTTAATTTACATTAATTTTCAATTAAATTTTAACATTTTAATTTTCGTGCTCTCAAAATATTTCAAAATTTTCCTTCATAGTGTGTGTAATTTATTTTCATATTTTATCTCATTAAATTATTTTCTAATTTTTTATTTCTGTATAAAAATAGTTTAAATGTTTTAATTCTGACGTTATTATTTTTTTCATTTTAATCATTTACGGTTGCTATAACGTCAAAATTTATAGATATGACGTATATTATGCGTCATGACACGTACAATATTTTTATTAACGCGACGCGTGCTGATATCATCGTTTTAATATTTTTAATAAATGAATTATAGAATAGGAATAATAGAAAAGAAAACGGTAGAACTTGAATAAATCTTTTGGTACAGTTTACATGTAAATAAATAAAAATAAAATCGTAGGAACATAGAATTTAATTAAACTTTTTTCTCCCAATACTTTATTAAATTTCTGGTCAACTTACTTTACATATGCTATCGTTATAGTGTTTTTAATTTTAAAATAATAAGAATTCAAATTTAATTAATAATTTTAAAAATTATCAAAAAATAAACTTTAAAAGAAAATTAAAAATATATAAAATATCTTTTATTTCAATTATATTTATAAAACAGATGCGATAAATATAATTTTATCAAATATTATTAGGTACTCAAACACATATATGACCCTATAAAGACCGCAAACAAATATATCTGTAATCAAGTATTAAAATGTAAACAAAAATAGAAAGTGATAATTTATCACCGATCATCTATTGGAGTTCTAATTTATCTTAAAATAAAAAATGAGAAAAGTGAAACAAAATTGAGAATAAGCAATAATAAAATTTTATGGAAAGAAATTTACAATATCCTCTTTAAATCTAAGAAAACAATAATAATATTCTCTGGAAAATGAGAGATCGAGCTATTATGCAATGCACTATTAAAAGGAGAAGGAAGAGATTTATCTAATGTGAGACTTATCTTATCATATTTTCACAATCTCCCACTTGAAAATTTTGATTAAATTAATCAAAAATCTTCACAATACATTATTAATGTTTTTCATGTTGTTATTGTAATAGACGTTCAGTAGGATCGCCTCTACGAAAAGTTGTCAAAACTAACCGACTGTCATAACATCTACTAGGTTCTTCTTACTTTATACTGAAATACGAGGTAAAATTTCTTACAATGTGTAAGACACTCTGACTATCACAATATACAACAATTTGTTGTTGTTTGTGCTCGAATTCCTCCAGTATCCTCTTAATGCAAATAGCTTCCTTACATGTTTGAATGACTTCCATGTACTCAATTTTTGTGATAGACAGAGCTACAATATCCTATAACTGGATAATAAATTATTGTCTCTCCAACAAAGGTAAACTCATCAAGATCACCTATAAAACATGAACAAACATAACATCTGACAACTAGTTTTGATCCTACGAAACATAATACAACACCCAAGGTTCCTTTGATAAGAATTCTCTTGATAATACTCATGCTCTCCACCACAATTTTCCATTTATCTATTAACTGATCTCACTGCTTGTACAATGTTTGGTTTTGTACCGATCATGGTATTTCATAAGACTTCCCACCGTTGATACATACAGTATGTGAGATATTTCCATCCTCCCTACTATATTGCTAGGATTCATACTTGAGGATAACTTGATAAAAAATGGGGTAAATATTGACTTACACTCTTGCATGTTGAAGTACTGCAAGACCTTCAGTAAGTATTCTTCCGATAAAGACAAACATTCCTATCTTTTATGTCTCGGTGAATTTGCATCCCTAAAATCTTATTTTTTGGTTCCTAGTTCTTCATATCAGACTTCCTAGCCAACTATGCTTTCAAAACCTGAATTCGAACTTTATTGGAGTCTACCACCAACATGTCATCCACATACAACAACAAAATGACAAAATTATTTTCATCAAATCTATTGTAATAGATATAATAGTCTGAACTTAGTCTATTGTAATCAAGGCTAATCATGAAGAATCAAATATTTTGTACTAACATTTGGACACCTGTTTTAAATCGTACAAAGATTTGGTCAACCTACAAACCAAGTTTCCTTTTTTTTTAAGTCTTCTAGCTGGAGTACACTAATCATTTTTCCAAGTTCACCTTAAAGAAAAATAATATTTGTATCACCGCTAACAATAACCTTGTAGATAGTGGGATCCACAAGAAATAGTCATTCACATTTTTAGCATAGTCCAAGAATTTTTCTTTCCCGAACTTCAAAAACACAGACTTCCTCTTGATGTGGTATACGCATAATCTCTTGGAGTAATCATTGGCATCATTGACACAAAATATTTGGTCCCTCTAAGGGATATACTGGCGATTCCAACACATCATAATAAACTAAGTCCAATATGTGTTTCCTCCTGATACAATTTCACGAGGGACTCCCAAATCTCCTTCTTTGTATCCTTCTCCACAAATTTTCTATAACGTTATTGTTAATTTCTTACCACCTTGGATTTGTGATGCCCACGGTATCTTTCCAATTGCTTCTACACAATTGTCTTTTCTCAAAATTTCCTTCAACTTCAATTTCCACAATGAGAAACTATTCCTGTTAAACTTCTCTATGTCATATTTTGTTGTCACGGTTTTAACTTACTTATGCACCTTTCCATATGAATAAAATTGCCTACTGGAACAACAGCGTAAACCATAACTAGTACACGAGGAAAGTTCCCAAGAAAGAGAGGTGGGTCACTAATGGACACACTTAAATACCAAGTTTTTTCTTGTCAAAACTTTTCCTAGACATGCACTGTCACACTACCACACTTTATATCCAGTAACTAGAATAAATCTTTTCTGATGTGGAAGATCAAATTAACATCAACCATAAAACGTACTAAGAATTGTTTTCAACATTATTCTAATGACTATATATAGCAGCAGAATAATATCATAAATAAATAAGAAACCAATCATCAACTTTGATATCACTGTTAGTATCAGAGTAACTGCATAAGAACTCACAACTAAAATAAAAGATGAGAAAAAAGAAACAAAACTGACAATAGGCAATGTAGACCCCTAATTTTGTCCGGCCTCTCAATAAAGGCTAAAAAGACTTCCTATCTGAAGATAAAGCTTCGGTGGACGTCTATCGGCATCAATCGACTTCCGAATAAAGAAAGGAAAGCTTCCCGGGAGTCCCAGAACACAAAATCTGGCCAAAACAGTCGAGATGGTCGTCCCCGAAGTCGGGATGGCCGTCCCAGCCAGCCCAGACGACCGTCCCACATGCCAGACGACCGTCTCGGCCATTTTTGTCACTTGGGACGACCGTCCCAAATCCCAGACGGCCGTCCCGGCCTCCCCAGACGCCCATTCCTATTTTCTGCACCCCAGACGGCCTTCCCGAGCTGCCAGGCTGCGAAAACTATAAATAGGAAGCTCATTTGAGCATTTTTCACACCCCATACACTTGTCTTCTCTCCCTCTTTCGAATGAACTCTCCGATTTCCTAAAAAGGTAACAATCGGTTAAGGAATATTATTCCAGCATTCGATTCTTCTTAAAATTTTAGTAGAGTCGATCTTGTATTTAGGGAGGAGAGTCTTTGTAGAGAGGGGGATTGCCAAAACGCATCCTCACAGTTAAAGATTTGCAATACAAAGCTTGCTACGGAGGTTCTTTTCACTTCTCTTCTCTTTTATTGCTTTATGTATGCAATAGAAAATAAAATCATGTAGATAGCCATTTTTAAATATTGTATAAATAAAATAGGGTAATAGCGTAATTTCTCGTAATCTTTACATAATGAATTAATTCGTCATAGGGAACCCGAAAGAGGCGTTGTGGGGTGCTAACACCTTCCCCATACGTAACTAACTCCCTTACCCAACTCTGGTTATAATGACCAAGTTTGGTTTTTATTAAAATCAACGCCTTTTTATCCTTTTCCAATGTTTACGGTCAAAACATTGGTGGTGACTCCATAAGAACCCTTTTCCGAAAACCTTGCTTTTATTAGAGGATAGTTCAGTTTTTGAGCACCTCGGAAGCAATAAACACATTTAAAAATAAAACACGAGTCTAAACCATCTTTTCGTGACCGCTCGCATAAACGTTCGAGATGTTCCTAGATGTCGGAACGGACGGCGGCGACAGGCAATAATAGAATTTTACTACCGAAAGAAATTTACAATATCCTCTTTAAATGTAAGGAGAAAACAATAATAATATTCTCTCATAAATAAGAGACTCAACTATAATGTAATGCACTAGTAGAAAAGAGAAGGAAGAGATTTTGGGTGATTTACAAGATAGACATGATGCTCCTTTTATAACAGGTTATAAAACAGGTGTTATTACAGACTCAAAATCATAAAAACAGAGTTATTACATAA